ATATGTGAGCTCGTTCGCATGGCTCAATCACGTCCTGGTTGAAGTTCGTTCGCTACGCTCACTCACCTTTAGGTTGGAGCACGTTCGCTGCGCTCACACGTCCTGGTTGAAGTTCGTTCGCTACGCTCACTCACCTTTAAGTTGGAGCTCGTTCGCTGCACTCACTTGCCTTCAGGTTAGCTCGTTCGCTACGCTAACTCGCCCCCGGGTTGAAGTTCGTTCGCTTTGCTCACTCACCTTTTGGTTTAAAATTAGCTGTTGTCAAATATATTTAAAAAAAATAATAGTGCTGCACTCTGTTGGTAATCCTTGTAACTTTAATGCTATTGAACATCATAGAACAGAAACAACTTGTTTAATTGAAACAGCTGTTAAGATTCATTTATTCCATTTAAATATGAGTACTCATTAGGTTAACATGGGAAACTCCAGAGCCACTGGGGCGGAGCCCGAGAGTCCGATCAGAATAAAAACCACTTAGTTTTCCTATTTAATGCCTAAAGAATCAGTGTACTAAATTTCAGCCTCCTAGGTAAATGGGAAGTGAGAGAATTAGTGATGAGTGAGTGAGTGAGTGAGTCAGTCAGTGAGGGCTTTGCCTTTTATATATATAGATAGATGGTCTGGCACGAACTATAAAATCTATCCTAAAAGTAAAGGCACTTTTAGTTGACATTAACAAATTCTACACGTTAACAAAATTAACTCACAAAACAAACTCCAAATTTTAGACTGGAATGAGAAGTGTACTTACATTATTTAAATATTACGCCTGTAACCTGTTTTTATTAAAATCAGCGTCGTTTTTCGAGCCTACAACATAGTTTATGTCGGATGATAATTACTACTATTAATTAATTACTGTCATATAAAAAGAATGCAAATTAGTAGTCAGTCTCTGCTCTAGGCCTACTGGTAACTATAAGCACATATATCATAGGAAATTTATATATTCCGTTTACAAAATAAAAAAATAAAAATAAAAAGATAAAATACTAGCGATACAATTTATGTTAAACGTTTACTTAGGATATCTGTTTTTCAATGTTCTAAAAGATAATATGTATTTTCCAGGTAAGTTGCTGATAATAAATATGCAGACCATGTAAACCGAGGGTAAGTTAAATACTTTTTAAATACTTTAGGACTAATATTATTAAACAAAATGTAAACTTAAGTGTACCATGTAAACTATGTAGAATTGTAGAATTAACTAAATAAATTTAAAATTCCATTGATATGTTGTAAATTATGATAACTCTTCATAGTAAAATCACTTTGTGAATTCTTTGACATAAGGATTTTTTTATTACATAAAATTGTATTTTCAACAAAAGTAGACAAATCTACCAAGCTTAGATAGTGACTAAATTGTGATCTAACTGGAAATTAGCGTTTTAATTAGTCAAAAAAAAGATGAGCGAGTCTGAAGTCTATATTTCAAGATGTGTGTTAGGTTTTTACTCACCTTGTATATTAATTGCAAGCCAATTAAATATTTTTACGGAGATAAAAAGCTGCTTAAGCTTAAAAGTTTCGAAATATACAAACACCTTTAACGATCTGCAGCCTTGATTTCTCCTGCCTGTCTTGCCAGACAACAAGCCTGGTTATAATGCCACACTAATTTGTTGATGGACTTGTATTAATGGAGTGCGGCATCCAGCGTGCTAGAAATAGACAAAACACCCACCGTCTTGTCTTGTTTGTTTTGTGTGTTCTTTCATCAAGAATAAGCTTGGCGTTATGTTAGATACCCTAGGAAAAATTAAAGTAACATATGGATTTAATTAGAACGAGTTCTTTGGCAGATATAAACGTTCAGACTCAACGATTATGGAATAATAACGAAGTTATTTGTGATATGTATGACTTGAATCAGTTCACCAGGACAGAAATATACGGCCTATATCAATAGTACCTATTTGGATAATCTAGAGTAAATTATGAACTAAATCAATAGCTTCTTATTAAACTTATTAATTATCATTGGTAGCGTATATTCTTCTTTTGTGTAAAATTTTAAACATATTTATGGAACTGATATATGTGAGGGGTGTATGGTAATCTATAGCTTAAGATGTTCATTGACCCTGTTACCTATAAAATGTAGAGACGATTTGTTAAATAAAATATTTTTTTATTAAAACTCCTACACGTCTATATTTTGTACTTATTTTTCATTAAAACCCCTGGCTTATATGTTAATGAATATTAGAGGTCATCCAGTTGTAAAAAACTCGACCAAAAATGTGTAATGTACTGACTTCTCTATTTTCACCCCACGCTGTAAATAACGCGCACGCTGTAATAATACTATGAACTACAACAAACTATAAATTATCTTTATAAGAGTGTTATTCATTGTATGCAAAAGACAAAAAAGTCTGTTTATAATCCAACTACTGCATTAAACACTATCCTGCTATTTGCATGGAATTTATGTAAATTTTGTTAATAAAAGTGTTTTTCATTGTCAGCAAAAGACTATAAAAAAATCTGAGTTTTATAATCCAACTACTGCATCAAATACAATATGTTTTGCATGTAAAGAACATATATCACCTCATGTTTTCTAAATTTATTTCAATACTTTCAAACACTAACAAACATCATGAGGAGTAATATTGAAAATAACCTTACATGTTTCGATTGAAAAAAGTTAAAATAATCATATGCAACTGATATACAATATTTTTAGGTTTGCTACATCGGTATTATTTTTAGTTACACTAATCATGTTTTGTCAAGATAGTACCCTTTCGTTAAAAATTCCCATATTCAGAATTAGCGTCCACAAAACCTTTTAGATATGGTAGGTATAATAATGTTGTTTGGTAGGTGAATAGAAAACTGTAATTTGTTACTATTTTTTTGTATATTTTATCGGCACATTTCTTCCAATTTATGCCTAAAAAGAAAATCCTCTCGGTAATTAAAACTGTTATCTCCCTTCTAAAAGACTTCGATCAAGTTCAACATTCTTTAAAGTAATTAACTGCGTCAGAGGATGGAAGTCGTTGGCGTGGAATTTAATTACCTCAACCTGTGAGTCCCAACTAGTAAACCGGTCTTAAGTTACTGTATTTGCACTTTTTTGGTTTATTTATTCATTACTTTTTTAATTATAAAATGTTTAAATAAATTCAATATATTATAAAAAATATATTATTTCAATACAATTTCATGTTCTCAAGTTTTTATTTTAAAATTGTATGTTTTTCAACATTAAATCTTTAATGTATTAAAAACTCTTTACTTAACAATATTTTACCATCTATACTTTTTGAATCGATTGAATCAAGAAATCTTTGGTTCTTTGTGATCTTACTGGTATGGTTAATCAAGCAAAAATACATTTGGTCTTTGAACCAAACATCCTGTTGATCTGGCAAGATGCACCAACAGGAAGTAAAGATGGTTACCAAAAGCCAAAATATTATGTGGAATTTAATAGTTTTGCACATTTATGGAACAAATATCTTTTTCCTACAGTCACCTATAGCGCAGAAAGTTGCTAATCGCTGCACTTACTTACTTTTGCTGCACTCTTTTTTGCCGCACACCAGTATTTCAAACAACACAAAACAGCGAGCTTTTATTATTCACGTAATCCGTGTACGCACAGAGAAGTAATATAAATATAAATTTATATTACTTCTCTGTGGTGTACGCTTGGAAATAGGTTGGCAACACTTGATGATACTACGACTATGATCAGCTGTTGCAGTGTTTCCCATTTCGTTCAACGCTTGGATTTAACCTAACCTAAAAACATGTTGTATAGTGTTTGAAAGACTTATTTCTATGCTTTATAATAACCGTAGGAAAAATATAATGTTTAACACGAGTGCAACTTGCCTTTGCTGCACTTGAGAAAATTTCCGCACTCGCCATCAGCTCGTGTTTAAACAAACATTTCTCTCGTGTGCAGCAAAGTGCCACTTCGCACACTAGTTATACAAATGATTGTTACAAATGAGAATAGTAAAATGCTCAAAGTAACAAATATTTAAATATGAAAACTTATAACGATTTCGGTATTAGATTTTGAGCAAGTTTAAGCGACTTGAATGACATTTCAAAATTTTGCTCGAGAGCAAATAAGTTTTATAGGCATGGAGTTCTCAAAGTTTTGACTAACAACACTAAAATGTTAAACAAAGCTGATTGAAGTGAGACGCGTGTAAAATCTTGACTTTGACGAACTCTGTATTTATAGGCGAACGCAACATTGGAGCTAAAATAACTCGACCTTCTACACTTCATTACAAACAACGGAAACTTAAGAAAACACTAAATTATTGTGTTGGTTTTGGCAACAGACCATTCTTTATTGAATAGGCTATAATATGAAGCGTGTCTTTGTTCAATAACTTTATGATTCTGAGTTGAGTAACAAAAGAAGTTTATTAATCCTTTATACATGTTTTACTACCACCTTTAAATTTAAACTATTTATCTGTTTCTAACGCGTTTTAGGTGATGCAAGCATCTATGTCTAGTAAAACGCTATAAGGTACAATTACAGATAAGTTCCTTCGGGGGTTTTGGTGCTTAATACAATAAGAACGATGTTAGACAGAACTATACTACCAAAACCTATGAGTTCTATTTTAATGCTTCCTACTCTAATATGAAAACATAAATCACCCATGAATAGTTTCAGTTTAGCATTCAAGCATGCATTCTTTCAGTTTAGCAAGGGTAAACTAATTGTTTATAAATTCATGACAGGATTCTTTGTAATTTATTTTTTTTGCATTGCTGGTTTGTATAAATACATTTCTTGATAAGATAAAAGTGAACATTAAGGTCTCACACGAAAATGGTTATTAGTACATGGAATTATTAGTTTAAAGATATTATCTACAAAACAGTTCAAAGATTTGAAAACTTCAATTTTTCAGGATTTTCATATTTTTGAATTGTTGATAGGTTGAATTGTTCATAGTTTTGACATCATAAGATGTGGAATTGCCCCTGAACTACTTTATAACTAAACTAATGGTTTAATTACCTCCAGCCTCCTTCATTCTCCAGTTCACAATAAGTACTTATTTTGAACTGGAGAATGAAGGTAATTAAACCATTATATTAGTGAATTTTTCAGTCAATTCGTATACGTTAATTGCCCCGTTGATGTAAAGTAGATTATACTATTCGAGTTTCGTAGTGTAATGTATCATTTAAACTAAATTTTTGAAATTGTGTAAATCATTTGTATAAAACACAACAATTTTGCTTAATCATTCAACAAATTATTTAAAAAACCAATAATTGTAAAAGCTGTTCCTTATTGATTAATTTCAACCTAATCTGTTCTAGTAATTCGTGTTGTTGATATTGTCAACATTATTCCATACTTAAAAAAACATCCAACGTACCGATACCCTACAGAAAAGCAAGTAACCTACGAAAACAACGCGGCCCACACATAGCAAATATTTATAGCGAGTAGCGTCTGTAGCAATCAGCTGTTGCCAGCCGCCGAGTCAGTCGCCGCGACCGCGGGAAGCGCACAACACGATGTGCGACGTTAACGACACGTTCTTTAACGACACGTTAGCCTTCACGTTCCGAGAGGGATGTCGTGTATACGTGCACCGCGTGGCACAGCCCGTGTTGTGCACGGTCGGGTTCGTGGGGAATCTGTTGACCATTATTGTGTTGACTCGCCCCTTCATGAGGTCCACTACCAACACCTACCTGACAGCGTTGGCTGTGTCGGATATATTCTACCTGGTGTTCACATGGATACTAACCTTCGAACATTATCCAGAAGTCAACACGGAAAGGTTCACGTGGCTGTGGGCGCAATATGGCGTCGCGATCTGGCTGCATGATGCTTTCAGTGAGTTCTACCGTTCTAGCATATTTTCTTTTGTATTTATGTACTAGCTCAAGACAATTATGGATTGTGTGATGACTTGTATGAATTAAACTTACTCCTACCTGTCGAAAAAACAGGTGTGGGAGAGTGTCATATGGAAACGCCTCAACAATGAAGCTAATCGATTGGATTTAACACTCTTGAACAAAAAAATGACATTATTTTGTAATACTTACGTACTTGAATACTTATCTTCTACATATTTAACCGATACACTTTAAGTGTCACAATCAAACTGCTTGAATCCAAACATAATTTAAAGATATGTTTCTATTCGTTGTGTAGAAAGCAATTAGATGCTTACTATTTGTTCCTGTTTTAAGGTCGATTCTCACATATTAGTTCCGGCACGTCACAGTTCAGTCATATTGGTCATATCTTCTACATATTTAACCAAGACAATCTAGGTGTCCCAATCAAACTGCTTTAATCCATTTAACATGATTTATAGGTATGTTTCTGTTCGTTATGCGGAAAGCAATTAGATGCTTACTATCTGTTTATCTTTTAAGGTCTATTCAAACACATTAGTTCCGGCACGTCACAGTTCAGTCAGATCAGCCTCGTCACAGTCAAACAATTTTGTTTTATGGATTTCTATTACGCTGTCTACATTGATCCAACGCATGTACGTCAGTCACTCCGCCGGCGTCTGTCAGTCAATTCCAGATTTCTTCCTTCCGATATTTTTGGATTGTTTGGACGCCTGCAGACGTGTTTGAGGTTCGCAAATAGTTTTTTTTGTAATTTAACTTATTGTGTTAATATTTAAAGCACTATTTGTAACAATTAACTAGATGGACGATGAAAATGTGATGGAATATTGTGTTTTAATTAAAACATTTCGACTGTAACATCAATGTAAATACAGTGACGGAAGACTGAATAAAACTGAAGAATTGCAGCTGCAACTGAGACTGAACTGTACTGTGGAGGACTGAACTGTAACTGGACTGTGGCGGAACTGAGCCCGACATGTGTGAATCGATCTTTACACTATTCTTTTTCTATACTGAGTACTGTTTTAGACATAGAAAAATACTGAGAGTTTTATAAAAATTCTAAATATTGCTTTTTGAAAGAGTGAAAAATAAACTGTATTCGATTATGTTAGGCTAAAAGCTGTTAAAAGGTTAAAAAGGCCAAGAACAAAGGTCGTCAATGAAAAAGGTAATCTTAGTAAACAACAATGCATTTTCTCTATTACATACGCTGCCTTATTTGTCTGTATCTACATCATTGTTAAATTTACGTTTTATGTATGAGAACTGTTTAATATATTGTCTTGTGGGGGAGCGAACTAGTCTTGTGGTAAAGCACGGGACTTCGGTCCCTAAGGTCCCGGGTTCAAGCCCACCAAATCACCAATAGATTTATCCAAGTGTAATAATGTAACCTCTTGATCCAGTCTCAAGTAAAGTGAAAAACAATCCTAGGTTAGTGTCTTGCGTCTTAGGGCATAACATATTTTAATTTACACCCCATCCTAAATTGGTAAAGTGATTAATTACCATAAACTATTTAAAAATATATATATTTAAAAGTTATTGTTATTATGTAATACTTTACCAAATAGTTACATACATAAAGCAAAATCGTTCTTTAAATTAAAAAGATCCAGTTGACATAATCTCACTCGAGCGTCACTAACATGAAACTTACATAATAACGGACTTGAGATTTTACAGAAGCATGATACATTTAAAGGTTTTGCTTATATTATTTTTTATTTTAACTGCAAAACAAATTTGCAGCACTTCTTATGTGGTAAGACGAAATTATTTGATTTCTCAGTTTATGCAGGCTAAATTACGTGTATGAGCAAGTGCATTCGTCAGCTCCAACGCAAATAGAGAGCTATAAAACGGTTTATCACTAACCTAAGGCCACTGAATAAGCAAACTGCTTCGACGTCCAACTATACATATAAATAAATGTAAATAAAACTATAATTTGTAATCTTAAGGTTAATGTTTATCTTACAATTTATTTATATTAAAATAGTAAATATTTTGTTCTTAGGCAACAGCTAATATGAGTTCATGATTGCTGCATCAAACTGAATACAGTGTATTAAAATCACTTAAATAAAATAATTTTCCAGTAAAGTTTGACTGATCCGTTGCAGGTAAATGTTGGCTTAGTCAAACAAGGAAGGACGTAGAACTTAACATTGCATTAGTTTTATAAAGATAGTTTACACAATACTGTAGATTAATTTCGGAAAATATTTGGTGATAAAAGAAAAAGTAACTCAGTTTACTAAATCCCCAGACACTGGCAAGGGCACTACGGTTATTTTATCTATAACAAATGTTGTTTTATATCTTATGTACGCATTTTTAGTCTAGCTGATAATGTTATTTATTTTTAAATAGATCAAACATTATTTCTTCATAATGAACTGATATTCAACAAACTATATGAGTCAAAATACAATACCCCCGCCGCAGCAAACCTGCTGACTAAGCGAGTTTCCATTTGTCTGAATTGATTTTCAGTTAAATATATTTTAATAACATTAGGTTTAACGAGTACCTAGGTTTGCTGCTACAAGGAAACTAATAAAGTGTGTTTTTGAGTAAAATATTGATAGCTTAGTACAAAATAAATAAATTTGCCAAGTGTGATCAAAATATATCCATAAACAAGCAAACTACAAGATTTGACATTATTCTCCATAAGAATAACATGGGAATTTTAAATTTACAATTTTTTAATTTTCTTCGTTACTAATAATCGAACAAAAATACTTTTATATACTAAATTATTTGTTTTTTTAAGCTCTTTAAAAAGGTCTAAAGAGAAATCGGGAAATTTTGTGTTTTGAGGGTCAAAAGTGAGAAAAACCAATTTTTACCCCATAAAACCCCCCGTAAATCCCCGTTCCCATGGTCCGATCGTGCTGGTTCGCGAACTCATTCAAGTTTATCCCGCTTTACACCTTTAAACCAAATTTCATCAAAATCGGACAAAAATTACTCAAGTTATCGCGTTCACGGAAGTATATATATATATATATATATATATATATATATGTCTATATATATATACATATATACATATATAAAAATTTGAACGAATGGTGTTTTTGGCCTCTGGGGACATCAAAATGAAAAAGTAAATCGGTCCCGGGTCTAGGTCTTACCGTGCCACCTACGGTAATAGCTACTTCCCTATAGGGAAATTCGCTAAAAGCCACAATAATTGAAATCTCTTTCAATGTTATATTCCACGATGCTCAATTTCAAACATTGCCTAAGGATTTCACATGGTGGTATCTGAATGAGTGCATTGGAAAATACCCTACACCAAATCATAAACTTTAAATGTTAATTTACAATGAGGAGGTATCTCTAATTAATTGAGTTATAAATCAATATGAAACATGGCATAGTTAATTAATAATAAAGACATAGTTTTATACACTCAGAACCTTGATCAATTTAAGTTTGAAAACACGTTTTTGCCTTCAACCGGAGTATAAAAAACAGTCTTCAAGTGACTTTTTACAAAAGTTCAAATATACAGATTATTTATAAGAGAATTCAATTTTGTTAATCATAAATATTAATAATTTAATGTAAAAACAAATACATTGTAAACTTTATAGTTAAACAACAATCTAGATAAACTAACCAAACATATTCATCCCTTAATTTGTCGAATATTTTTTAGGAGGTGAAATACACGTTCACTGAGTGTTTAAACGATTAAGTCAATAATTGCAACGATAACTGTAGAGAACGTACCAGAGGATGTATAGGCGTTTTTACTCCGAGCCAGTGTTTGGTTTGCTGTCAATACCAATCAGAACTGGCGGGAGATTTGTGATGATTGCGAGGGAGAAGATTACCAACCGTGACAAGTGTAGCTGAAATTTGCTCTTGGAGCTGGAACTTATTTCAAAGATTTGTTGGGAATTGAAAAAAATAATTGCTGTAAATAATCACAGTTGTAATATACAGAAAGCTTTTATACGTGTTTGGAATATTAATAAATTAAATACATATACGGCTTACATAAATTTTATAAACAAACAAGTAAAGTATAAAGGTTAGTGATTTTTTTAATTAACTCTATTGGACAAATATACTTTAACCCTATAGTGTGGAAGATATAGAAAAATAAATAAACACCCCGCTACAGCAAACCTGCAGACTAAGAGAATTTCCATTTGCCTGATAGAATTTTGAACTAAATCTATTTAGATAACAGAATTTTTTTCAAATACCTTGGTT